ATCCCCCACTTTTGGAAAGGACATTGATGTGGACAAGTTAGTCAGACATCAAGCACAGTGGCATAAATCTTGTCACACAAAATTCAATGTGAACAAACTGTAAAGAGCACAAAAGAGGGGGGGGGGGGGGGGGGAGGAGCTGGAGCTGGGGGGGGGGGGGGGGGGGGGAGGAGCTGGAACTCCCGAGAGTAGTGCTGCAGATAAGAAACGACATCCCTGAAGAAGAACCCCTGTATAATTTGTAGACAATCCGATGGACATTTTCACGAGTTCGGGACTCTTAAGGCGGATGACAATGTAAGGGTTATGGCGACAGACCTGCAAGAAACTGAGTGATTGTCCAGAAGTGAGGGTGGTGACATCATTGCAATAGATGCAAAATATCACCTGGCTTGCTTGGCTGGACTCCGAAATCGACATTGTTCGCTAATGAGGCAACACCATGACACCTCTGATAGTCAGAAACAAGAGAAGGAAATCGAAGCCAGAGCCTTTGTTGAGCTAGTCACCCATGTGGAAGATTGTGTGGAAGGTGGTCAATTCTACTACAAGTTTTCGCGAACTATTTGAAAACCGCTTTGTTGATCTTTGTGTGCGCAAGGAAATCAACAAGGTTCGCTTCAAGGAACAAGTCCTTAAATACTTTCCATATGCCCAGGTGCAGAGTGGTGGAAAGCATGTGATACTTGTTTTCAAACAAAGAATGCAGGAAATGCTGAAGCAGGCTTTGAAGTGTGACTATGAAGAGGATGCACTGATTCTGGCCAAGGCTAAGAAAATTGTGCGGGATGATATATACCAGTCCAATGGGTTCAACTTTAATGCCTCATTTCCATCTGAATACCAGCAGGACTCTGTTCCCACCAATCTCAAGTCTCTGGTGGCCTTTATGCTGGTCGGAGCCAACCTGAAGGATCAGAGCTCTGATGCCTCACAGACGATCTGTTTAACTTTCAACTCTTGGCATTCCTTGGAATATGAACGACCCTTGCCACTTTACATAGGACTAAGTGTCACGGTCAAAGAAGTTGATAAATCAGGTTATGAAACTTGAGAGACAGCTGGCTACTGCCGTTTGTGAGAACATTGCGAAGAATGGGGTTGTGTATCCTGCTCAGCTACGTAAAGGGCTTTCACCGTTAGTGCCCAAGACAACCTTGAACATAACCCAACTAGCACAACAGCCAGAGGGTCCTTCCATGGCACAGGCATCAGTTTATTTCAGCTTCCAGGATTGAATATGCATGCCCTCTCCAGAAACGAAGACAACTTCACCATTGTGCCAGCAGTTGCACTCAAGAAGGCCAATGTGGCTGTTCCCAATACACCCAATCCGGTCAAAGCTGTGGAGGGACACCTGTAGACATATGTAGAGAAATGTTGGTGCGAGCAGTCACGCAAGCTGTTCGAAAAGGAGGAGCTTGACAAGGGGGACATTGTGGCTTGGTCAGGCTACTATGCTTCTCTCGAATGCATATCAGATGATGTACTGCCTGCTCTCACACAACTCTTGCCACTGTTCTTTGAGAAGGATACTACAGCTTCCACGATCAAGCAGGGGATGCCACACAGTTTCTGAATACTGGACAGATCCCAGTAATGGCTCTGGTTTCACCACTATACGCACTGGCCAAGTTTGTTCAGTGGAACTGGCCTCAAACACATGGTGAGTTAATTGTGTAATCATGTGTAGTGGTCTCCATATTGTAATGACAATGTGGAACACATACGAGGACATGGAAGCCTCTGGGTGGACCGATGCACTGACAGAGGCCGGTATCACATCCTCCAGCACAGCTGAATCCTTTCTCAAAGCATCACATCTCACTAGGACAAGACATGCCCGCCAAGTGAGTGCTCTGTGATTGGCCACGCTGCAGCAGGATGCCCTCTTGGACATGGTGACTGAGGGACCACATGATGAGAAGACCAAAGATATGATCACCAAGAGTCCTATATTTCAGTACTGGGATACCATCCTGAACATTGAAACGCTGGGTCAGATATTTGTGCGGGCCCACAGAGAACCGGATTTCCCCCTCTATGTGGAGGCTATCGTCCCATGGTTCTTCGCCCATGATCATCAGAACATTGGCCAAATGGTTTCCTATCCACAACCGTGACATGGAAAGCCTGCTCGTGTTCATTCAAGAGGAATTTGAAGAACATGGTCTTTGGGTTATTCCCAAGACCACAAACAGATTCCCAAGCATACTGATAGATCAGGCTCATGAGCAAAATAACGATCTGGTGAAGGGTTCTGGGGGTGCATTGGGACTTACCGAGAATCCGTCAGCTTACAAGAAGTGGATGATCACAGGACCTGAAGAAGCACGACTTCTTCGAGTACATTTCAGAAGAAGACAATAAACAACAACACCATGAAGAAGGCATGTCTACACAGAAAACATTCAAAGAGCAAGCACTGGCTCTAGTGCACACCATCAGTGGGATGAGCAATCCGTTCCTAGATGATACCCCCCGAACTTATAATGCTGGACACACGAAATGTGGTAAAGACAGTTCGCACTGTGGAATCAGTGGGCAGGGATCAGTACAACAAGTATCATAAGACACTTGTTAGCGACCGCAAACGCTCCATTCACGAGCCCATCAAAAAGAATTCTCTGCCTCTTTGCAGATGCCGAACACCCAAGACTATGACCAAGCAGGCATGGCAGATCTCGATGCTGAAAGAGACTGTGGGACTCTTCTCCCGATTATACATAGCCATGCAACACAGAGAGGGGGACATAAACGCGTTCTTTAGCCATGAAACCCATCCATCCCTTTCTGTCTGACAGAGGGAAACTACATCTGGGGAAGAAGTCAAATCTGCTGATTGTTCTGACACAGGAGAGATGTCAAAGTACTCGTTAGTGCTGATGTGGTGCACTTCCTCTTCACTACCGACATTACCACATTCGACGAATATGCCAGTGGTGTCTTTGTTCCCCACATAATAAAACACTTGGAGACCTCCGAAAGAGTTGACGTGGTCTGGGATACTTACATCACGAGCAGCATAAAAGAGTCAACAAGGGAGAATGATACGGCGGAAGGTGGCTGTCAGAACAAGCTGCCAAGGAATTGGCCAGATTCCCTGCATGACCCTATGAACAAGCAGGAACTCTTTAACTTTCTCTCTAACAAGATTGCATGCACTGTGTGGCCAATTGATAAGCAGGTCTTAATGAGAGTGGTCGGCACAGACACCAGGCACTCCATACTGCCACGTAACCATGAAGAGGCTGATTCACCTGCTTAATGCCCTGGAGCACGGCTGTTCTACCTGCTTGGTATGCACTGTGGATACAGATGTTGTCGCTATCCTCATTGGCAAGTTCTATGTCCTGCTCGCCAAGAATCCAGCTGCAGCTTTTAGCACTGGGAAGAACTACACATATTTTCAAATAAATACCATCTGCCATTCTCTGGGCAATGAGAAGTCCATTGCACTTCCCATGTTCCACTGTTACATAGGCTGTGGCACAACCTCGGCATTCTTTTCGAAGGGGAAGGAATTGGCATGGGAGGCTTGGAATTCCTACCCCGGGACGAATCCGCACACTCCTGTGACCATAGATGTCCACCACTTTCAACTTCTGGAACGTTACAGTCATCTTTGACAAGACGAGTGATCTGGAATCTGTCAATGAAGCACGGAGAGAGTTATTCTGCCAAAAGAACAACACGATGGAACACATCTGAACTATCACAGCAGCCGATACCCAGTCCAGAAGGATGTGGGTGGACTTTGGATAGAGACAACCGGGTCTGGCTTCCTGTGTGGAACATTCTGCCAATGGCTTTCGAAAGCCTGCAGTGAACTGGTCAAGTGTGGTTACAAAAGCGCGAGTGTCTGTGGTGCAAGGCGCTCATGCAAGAAAGCGCACTGGAAATGTACAGAGCTTTGTAGCTGCAAATGTGAAAGATAACAGCTGTGTTGGTACGTGATTACTTGTTTTATTGTATTAGTTCATACAGATACATTTTGGAATCTAATATGTGTGGACACTTAGAAACAGAGTTGAAAATTATGTGGACACATTGAAAGAATTAACATATTGAGTGATTATTGGCAACAATAGTCATCTAGTGACATTCTAAAAAGCGTTATTGCATTCCTTTCCCAAGAAAATGCATATTTTGACACCAATATTGACTTTCTAAGTGGTTTGAAGATATTGGCACTTATAGATTTTACATGGCGGCCATTTTGGAAATCCAAGATGGCCGCAATCCGCCACTTTGATGAAGTGGCTCCAATAAAAAATTGAAACCTATGGTAATGGAGAGCATGTGGAAAGAAATTGGTGGTTTTATCCGGCATGTCCCCATCCTTATTAAATCTGGCCCTAAGCTGCCTGACTATAAAAGGTAGTTGACCAGTAATGGTCTAATGACTTTATAATTAGCAGGACGTTTCTCATTTGTATTTCTGTCTGATGGCGATAGCTAAACATATAGTAAAACGTTATAGCATTTCAAAAGTAAAATAAACCCTGGTAATGTGTATGTATTTTGCGTGTTTTTTACTTTATGATACCCTATATGGGTACAATGTGTGAAGCCCATATTGCTGGAATCTTGCTAGAAGCGACGTAAAACACTTACTCACTTTTATGGTAGACATGTATCAAATACTTATGATAGTTTACACGACGTTTAACACTCCTTTTTAGAATATGTACATACTAACCCAAGCAGCCATGTTGAAATTTTAATTGTGATCTACTTCTCAACATTTCAGAACTTTGGAGCATTCATAGGTACAAGGTGGCGCACGCTTATGATAGTTACACAATCAGTGATGACATAATGGCACCCTGCAAATATTACTTTAAGCCTCTTGAACAAACCCGCTTGAACTTTTTGATAATCAAACACCAAGCGTTTATTGGGTTTGCACTTTGTAGGTACTAAAGTACATGTCATCTGAATGTAAAAAGATGCTGATCATGATACACTGCCACACTATGTTTATTCGAATTATCTAGATCAGCCAGCGACTAATGGGTCTACGACTACTACTAACTCCAGTGATGACAGTTCAGCTGAGAACCTCAATAAAGACCCTGTTACAACCACTGTGGGATTTCCTGTCATCAACACTGTCATCGCCGTCATCACTGTCATCGCTGTCATCGGTATTATAACCTTCTGTGTAATACGATTGAAGAAACTAAGTCCTAAGTAAGACATTTCTGTTGCAGTTCATAACTTTTTATGCAAACATTTGTAATACACTCTCCCAAAAAAAGAAACGCATGGGTGAAAAAATATTTCCCCACGTCGTCATTATTTTATATGCTATTTCTGAGCGGAAGCTTATATCTGTGAATGTCAAACTTCACATGAAGTAAATCAGTGTCTGTTGTCAAAGTTAACTGACTAACTGGTTGCACCAGTCATAAACACATGCAAAGGCAAATCAACTGTTCTCCTGAACAAACACATTTTACAAGTCAAAATAGAGAATTGAAACGGACATCATTTTGGTCACTGATGCATCAAATGTTTTAAATGTCCTGCATGTGTCTATCGTAAAGTACATTTAAACTCAACAGATGTCATGACTTTGAATGTCGTAAACCAGATCAAACAACCTTTGAGCAAGAGTCGTTTGAAATCTTCGTCAATAGATGGTCTCCTTTATTTCTAGTTCTGGTGGGTAAATATGTTGAAGGGATTTGGCTATTTGACAGTTAAATGCTAACTTGACAAAGGTTTTTGTTTTCTATTTTGTTTACAGATCAGGTCAAGCTACGTGTGGCACCAGCAACCATGCTGAAACAGATACATTCCTATATCTGACAAGATAGACACAATTTTATGGATAACAACACTTTAATACTGTGAAAAGCGACGTTTCGGTATAGATCCTTATACTGTTGTCAAACAAAACAAGGATCTATACGGAAACGCCGCTTTTCACAGTATTAAAGAAGTTGTTATCCATAAACTTGTGTCTATCTTGTCATCCGTCAACTTCTAAGTAATGCCTATCAAACAATTCCCATAGCTATCCGTACTGTATTTTCCCCCACTGATTACTCAAAAGCTTCAAATACGGTTTGCACGTCTGATTTCACCATCTGTATTGTAACAACCATATTTGTAGGAGCATTCAAAATTTGCGTTTTATTTAGTATTACTACTACCAACACAGTGTTAGTTTACTCAGCGTTTGCTTTTTAGTGTTGCTGATGTGCTTACTATTTTAAGAGAGCTTCCGGTACCACTAGATTTCTGGGCACCCATGTAATATACTGTGAAAAACACAGAGTATTATGAAATATAAATGTAAGTACCAAGTATTAGAACAAAGATAATTATGTTACGACAAACATCCTGTGCACGATGCAAAACATAACACCAAAACACATCTGATAGTTTGCATGTGCGGCACGCATTAGTGCCACACACGTGCCTTGGGTGGAATTCCTGATTTGGTCACATTTCAAGGAAAGTCAGCTAATCTCTGTGAGCCCTTATATCCGTCAAAGTTATTGATTCTTGGTATCATAAAGTTGTGAGTTTCTTTGTTTATGTGTGACATAACGATGCGGCTATTGGCATACTGGCAACTGTTCGAAGTCAATACGTTCAAAGGGAATACTTTCAATGTTTCACAGTCTGTGATTAGCACACTATGGAACAGGTACCAACAAACCCAAAATGTTGACGATCGACCCCGTACCAGGTACAGGATCAATTCTTCCAAAGCCAGGCTCTACGCAATTGAGGTTAAACGGCGAATAAAATTGCTAAAAACGGGTCAGACGATTAGAAATCGTCTACATAGAGCTCATCTCTATGTTCTATAGTCACGTAAAATGCCGTCCCTTACAAATCGTAATATTTTTTGCCAAACAGACGCCAATGGTGTACACAACGTCGAAACTTGGGTAATCGTCGCTGGTCAGGCGTTAATCTTGAGTCCCGATTCAATTTGCACTTCCTTGATAGGCGTGGTCGTGTCTGGCGATGTCGAAAATGAACGTCAAGCCAATGTCAACCTGAGACCTCATGACAGATTTGGCGATGGATAGGTTATCTTGTTGGGCTGGCATCACTATGACTGCCCAAACCACACTTCATACATTGTGTAAGGAAGGGCACTGCACAGTACTATCTAGACAACATACTGACACCCTTTGTTGTCCTGTTTGAAAGGCGTTTGGGTCCACATTTTGGCTTTCAGGACGACAACGCCAGTGCTCACCGTGCACAAATCGACAATGTTCACCTCCAGCAGCACAACATCCATAGAATACCATGGCCAGAAATGAGTCCACATCTTTTGCCCATTGAATACATTATAGGGAGCTTTGTGCGTCAACGTCATAGGCCGCCAACCACGTTGAGGAAGGGACAAAATCGCCACTGGGAGATCTAGATTCACACGCAGTATGCCTCATCGAGAGAATGAATGTTTGACAAATCTTGGCGTCATTTCGCACTACTGTTCCAAAAACGTGAATGTTTCCATCTTACTCCTACCTTCTTTTCAGATGGTTGGCGGTCACAAGATACACTTTCATACTTCACTACCGGTCGTGATGTGTTCCCAATTCGTCCATTATTATCATATTATCAACTATTACTAGAAACTAATACCTCTTATGAGTTTGGAAATTTTAAGTTTATTCCGATTATCCCTACTTTTTTAGAAGAAAAGGTGAGATATTATGAGAATGAATGTTGACAGATGGATAGCCGTGATAAACCTTGAGATGGATCCTGCTGGAGGAACTAGCGTCATTTGGATGAGTGGGCCACGGGTTGTCAGTGATTGGAGAAAAAGTGGCAAAATCGATATAGTTTTAGTCAGCTGCTTTGTAGGAGGGTAGTATTGATATAATGTTGGGTTAAGTTTCGTCTGGTTAATTCCCATGATTGTAGTACATGATAGTTATCAAAGGCAAAAGTAACTGTGAATATGTTCTAAGTTATCATTTAAATGATGTTTTAGAAGTACAGAACGCTTCACTTCTTTGAAAATTAAAAGTGTACTGCTGTTTTATGTGGTTGATGATGATCTCCATTAGATTTCTAGGCTTTACCAATTTTATTTAATTAACAATAAAGCATTCATTTGGATCCCAGCATGTATCAAAACAGTCCCAGTCTACTATGGGAAGTGCTAACAAGTAACTTTGTGGATTGCAGTAACAAGATTATTTAGGATGTAAACCTTTACGATCAATATCATCATAGCATTGACATTTTCCATTTGTATGTGATCACGGTAACCTTAATCTGGGTTAACTGTCTCGCTTTATTTTTCAATTTATGTTTAGCAATATTCCTGTAACAGAATGGGTCAACTACTTCGTTTTTTATTACAAACTATATGCACATTTCACCTACACATTTATTTTAGAAATATTTAAAAAAATATAATCTAGAAGAAACATGTTACTCATGTTAATAGGTCATATTTAATGATTAAATACTTTATTATATACATACGAATGAAATACTGGAATTTATCAGTAACGATAGATCAAGTTATCAGTCACTAGTGACTGATATGAACAAGGTGCCGGAACTACTTTCTCCTGAATCAAAACATTAAAGAGTTATCCCCAGGCACAACTGGCGACAGCGAGACGTACCGCCAAGGCGAGAAGCGCCCGCTTGAATTTTCCGAGAATTGAACTTTCCTAATTTAATTCATGACAGCAAGCAACAATGTTTCAGTTAAAATGTTCGGGGTTCTATAAATGTGTTTATGTCAACTTTCATACTTATCTGTGAGAAAATTTGATCAAATTTGGTGGATTTTGTAAGCCTGGAGAGCGCTCAGCTGATCGTTCGACATTGTCACAGTACTAACTGTTTATGTATTCCTACGCCAATAAAATAATCGGTGTTTGAAAATGATTTCTGTTTTCATTTTTAACAGGAATGTTTAATTATAACAAACGAAAATGTCCACGGAACTTAATACTCGATATGAAATAATATATTTCGCATAATATATATTAACAGGGCTAGTTTTATTCACAAACTATATTCTTTTCGCAAAACCCCTTTATACGCCGGTGGTAAAGGGGCGACAGGGAGAACGTAGTAATTTATCAGACACTGTTTTCGAAAAAATATATCAATTGCAATGTATAAAATAAATAGAAAATTCAATGTGTTTTCTCAAATACCACTTTTATCTCATCTCGTGAAGTGCGTCACCCGTGAAAATATTAGAGTCTCCCCAGTTCAATCGATGAGATAAAAGTGGTATTTGAGAAAACACATTAAATATCCTCTATATATTCACCTGAAAGTATAATCTTTATTTCATTAGAGGGAAATAGAATGTTATCACCCAAATATACAACACATTATACCGGACGATTTTGTGCGGTGGTTTTCTGCATTTCTTGTCCAGTAACATTGATATGTTATCTGATTATGCACATTAGAATTTGTAAATAATAACTCTTTGAATATCACAGATAAGGAAACTGTATCCGATTGTGTACACATTTGCACATAAGAATTTGTAAATACAAATTCTTGAATATCACAGATAAGGAAACTGTAACAGATTGTCAAAACAGCTTCATACTAAAATTTTGTAAATAAAAATTCTTTTAATATAACAGATAAAGATATTGTATCTGATTGTGTTAAAAAATTCACATTATGATTTGTAAAAAAATACTCTTTGACTATAACAGATAGGGAAACTGTAACTGATTGTTAATATTATTGCTGCTGCTGTTGTTGCTGATGATTTCCCTTGATAAGCACATTAATAATATTGTTGATAAATTTGAAATGGATCTATCAGAAATGGAAAATGATATTAACCCTTGGAATATATTAGATCAACTTAGCCTGCCATATCAGAATATCAGAAATGCACATCAGAGGAAGATAGGTCCAAGAATTTGGGGCTGAAATTAAAAGAACTGTGCAAAAAAATAATGTCTTTATCTGTAATGGTAGAGTTGGCACGGAAGAAACAATAGGCAAAGCAACATGTAAAGGCAAATCTGTAGTGGACTATGTTATTTCATCACCATTATTATTATCGCTTTATGTTGATTATAAAATTAATGTTTACTCACCATTATATTCAGACGTTCACTCCTCTGATCGTTTTGTAATAAAATCCCCAAGAAACACCACCAATGGAGGTGTCCATCCCTCGGTAAATCCAGTTGAAGATAACGTTACAAGAGGCAAACCGTTACGATAGTAAGAAACCGGAACTCTATTTCAATGACATAAATGTTAAAACTAATGCTCGCCTCACTGAGCAGAGACAGTGTGCTCGCGAAAGCGATGCTGACCCAGATATGGTGAACGAGCGTGCTACTGTCAAAGCGGAAGTGCTGGTGGACGCTGCACGCACAAAATTTGGCGTTAGGAGCATTCGGGCGAATCGTCCGAAACAAAATAATAAGAAAAAGATAGCCCGTGGTTTAATGATGTGTGCAGAAAAATGCGAAAACATTTCCATAAAGCTAAATAAAATATAAGTTACGTAACACCCTATCAAATAGTGCTTTCTATCATCAAATGTCAAGAGCTTATAAGAAATGTATGGACAAAAGTATAAAACAATATCAAAATTAAACAAGCAAACAGTTTCGTGCCCTTTAGAAATACTAACCAAAAGAATATTGGAAGCTATAAAATAAACGTAATATGACCAAATCCGAAAATACTCCTGATATTGCAACGTTCTTTGAATTTTATAAAGACCTTAATGAATCTCAATGTAAAGGTGATATACCCGATGATGTTGCCGAAGATCAATAATACGACACTGGTGTTTTAAATAAGGTAATATCCGGAGAAGAAGGCCTTTCCGCCATTAAGAA